GGAGGGTCACAACTTTAAGCTCAGCTAGGCAATTTGGGGACTTGGCAACATCTTGTTCCAAGCCTAAAAAAAGGCCTGGATGTAGCTCAGAACAAAGTTTTTGGATTCAACCCCCAGGAAAGAAAGAAAAATCAAGTACATAATTCAGAGCCATGATCAGTCAAAATAGCAGCTAAATAGAGCCAAGGCAGACGTTCTGGCCAGCGGCCCAGCACATGCAGCACTGCTGGGCCTCCGGGCAGCTGCCTGGGCTCCTGTGCTCCTCAGCCCCACAACCCACAACCCCACGGCGGCACAGGGGCTCCCAGCTGCTGCCGGCGTCCTGGGCACTGAGCTACACTCCCAGCAGGTTTCATTTTCTTCTTCTGAGGCAGGGTTTCCCTGAATCACTAAGTTGCTCAGGCTGGCCTTGAAGTTCAGATCCTCTTGTCTCAGCCTCCCAGAGGGCTGAGATGACAGACATGCACCACTGTGCCTGGCCGCCTGCAGCTCCTAAACAGATGTCATCTTGGCCCTCCAGCCTGTGCCTTCCCCGTCTGCCATGCGTCTGTTCTGTGTCACATAGGGAGTTCTGCAGACAGATGCGTGGGCATGGGCGGGGGTGTGCAGTTAGAGATGGTAAACACGGAGCCCTGCCTGCCAGCATCTGGGTTCCCGGGGCATCAATCTGGCCAGTGGCCAGTGCTGCAAATACGCTGCACAGCGATGCCATACTGTCTGTCCACCCACAACGAATGAGCCCCTTCCACCTCCTGGCTCCCCCGGGCCCGGCAGTCCGTGACTATCACCCCCATGCGTGCTCTGACTCAGTGCAGGCCGTGTTCCACGAAGCTACCACCCAGTAAGAACCTCTACAACCTCTGTGGGTTTTTGCTTTGTGGGACTGGGGATTGAACTCAGGCCCTTGTGCTCGCCAGACAAGTGTTTATTCTACTGAGCTGTCTCCTGCCCGTCCCCCCCCCCCCGCTTTGGTTTTTCAAATCAGGAAAACAGGACAGTCATGGAGTCATGGACCCAAAAAAGAAGCCAAAGCCACAGGGTCAGAAGAGCAGGGCACTTCCGGTGGGGACAGGGTGGAGAGCGCAGTATGGATCCATCAGCGAAGCAGGCTCTCAGCAGGGGCTCTGTGTCGCACTGTGGGCATTTGGGGCAGATAGGATGGGCATCGTAGGACGGGGACCAGGGCCCCTGGCCTCCACTAGGCCGCATCCCACAGCCTGGCAGCCATAAATGTCTCCGGAAGGCAAAATCATGTTCAGATGAGACCCCCTTGATCAGGGAGTAGTGGGGGCCCCGAGCCCTCAGGTACCATGACCACCTGTGCTGAGGTCCTGGGACAGCGTCCACAGGGACCCCACACTCAGGGTGGGGAGGGACAGAAGGCTTGGTCCCAGCAGCCGGGTCCCCTGGTCACCTTGCCGGCCCCCTCGAAGGTGTCCTGCTGTCTCTGGAGCTGGAAGCAGCGAGCGGAAGCTTTTCCAGAATGTATAGGGATGGGGGCCCGGGAGATGGCTCAGGGGAATAAGCGCTTCCCTGGCAAGCTTAAGGGTCTAAATTCAATCGCAGGTTGGGCGGGGGAGAGAATGTACGCCGCGCCCCGCCCCCAGCACTGGGGACCACGCAGGCCCGCTGGTGGGGGCCGCCCTCCTGGGCACCGCAGGGTGCTGAGCAGCGACCCTGGCCTTCCCTGGTCCACGTCCCTGTGACAGCTGCACACGGACCCACACATTGCTGGGGGGGGGGAAGGGTCGCCCTCAGGTGACCCCCGTGTAGACATTGTGGCTTTGGGGGCGGCCACAGGGAGAAGTGCAGGGCCCAAGCGCTGCTGGTGCCTTGTAATTACGCGCGTGCTGCCTGCTTCCTGCAGCGACCTTCAGCCCCAGAACTAGTTCAGGCTCTGACGGCGCATCTTGGCAGCTCCGCCAGGGAACAGCTCGTCCAGGAGAGAACTGATAACGCGGCCTCTGCCACACCCGGGACGAGAGGCCTCGCTCGAGACATAGAAGGCCTGGGACATGGGATTCTCGGTATTGGGTGCAGAGAAGAGACTGATGTTGGATCCCCAAGACCGGGACACCCAAACACTGCCCCCTGCGCATCCCAGTTAGGCAAATCCGAGGAACTCACGGGCCTCTTCTTCCCCCTGCTGGCCAACACTGGTAACTATAGGCCTGCCAAGGCAGCGCGGGGCGCCTCAGAGCAGGTTCAAAATCTTGGCTGGGATTTGGCTGCCTTTTTACCCCGTATGCCCTGAGCGTGTGGGGCGGTGTCCACATCATCCCTTGAGACCCGCAAGGGGAGTAAAGACTTATGTCTAGGGGCCGGGAAGATGGTTCAGTAGAATATGCGCTTCCCTGGCAAGCGCAAGGGCCTGAGTTCAATCCCAGGTTGTGCAAAAGAAACCTAAAAACTGCAACCAAAGCAAGATAGAAAATAATCTTCGGGCTGGTGAGATGGCTCAGTGGTCTAAAGCACCTACTTAGAACAAGCTTAGCAAAAAAGCACAGGGACCGCGGTTCAATCCCCCAGCGCCACATGCCAGCCAGCCCCGCCCCCTGGTGGGCAAAGCTGGCCACACACACACACACACACACACAAATAAATAATAATAATAATCTTCAAATGTAGGAGAATGTGCAAAAAAGGACAATCCTGGTGTATGCTAACAAGGAAAGCCGTGGAAAGCTCAGCAATAACACAGCCACAGTTCACGTCAGACCCCTCTAAGAAGCCTGGTGTGGCGGCTCACACCTGTCCTCCAAATATGCTGGGAGGCTGAGACAGGAGGATTGCAAGTCTAGGCCCAGGAACTCAGTGAAATCTTGTCTCAAAAAAAATCAACTTTTTTTTTTTTTTTCAAGAGCTGGGTCCTGGGTTCCATCCTCAGCACCTCAAAAACAAATAAAATCCTACTGATCTAAAATTCTCACAGCAGCACAGTCCCTAACAGGCCATCTGAGAAGCAGCACATACAGGCTCGGTTTACAAACTTGATTCTGGAACTGGGTAAGAACTGAATCAGGGGCTGGGGAGGTAGCTCAGAGGTCTAGGCATCTGCCTGGCAAGCAGAAGGACTCGGATTCAGTCCCCAGTGCTGCATGCTGTGCCAGTCCCAGCTCCGGGCGTGGTGGCGCACACCCAGCACTCAGGAGGCTGAGGCAGGATGATCACCAGAAGTCCAAGGCCAGACTGAATTACACTGGGAGACCTGATCTCAAAAAAACAAAACAAAAACCCCAACCGGATCCAACTCAGTGGCAAGGTCCAATGCTGATTCAGGTCTCATTCAGTTCAGTTTGGGCCCAGAGCCCCGGAGAGCGCCGAGTGTGTGTGCAGAGGCGCCGCTGGGTATCCATCAGCAGGTGGGAGGATGCAGCAAATGTGGCTCTTACACGTGGTGCAGTGTGACACCGTGTTATTAGTTTGGTTTTTGGTTTTTTGGGGTTTTTTTTTAGTGAAATCAGGAATTGAACTCAGGCCCTTGCGCTTGCCAGACAAGCACTTATGCTACTGAGCCATCTCCCCGGTCCCCAATTTTTTTTTTTTGACACCGAGTTATTAGTAAGAAAATGTATGCACTTGAGACCACAATGGGAAGGGACACAAATCATACATACATGCTTCAGTATTGCATGGTTGGGCCGGGGAGGTAGCTCAGTAGCACAGGGCCTGCCTGGCAAGTGTGAGGTCATGAGTTCAAATCCCGGGATCAAACAAATAAATGAATAAATAAAGTGATATGGTTTCTCTGTAAATAAGAAACAAAGTACAAGTAAAGAGCAAAATAAAAGGCACCGAGAGGAAGGAGGGAGATGGAGCTTTCTCAAAGGGGAATGGGAACATGAAAGGGGGGAAGGAGAGGGGAGGGAGACGGAAATGAAGAATGTATTCTGTCCATACACCCCCTCCCCCAGGGATGGAGGCATTAAGTGCTGACAATGGACAAGTAAAAACCTTTAAAATTAAGACCTTAATGGTGGGCCAGGGAGATGGCTCAGCAGAATAAGCGCTTCCCTAGCAAGCGCAAGGGCCTGAGTTCAATCCCCAGTTCCGCAAAAGAAAAAAAAAAGACCTTAATGATGTAGGAGGGGGCGTTGGGAGCCCTGGTCTGCTTTCTACTTTTTTAAATTTTTCATTTTTATATGAAGTGAACATGTGTCTGGGCCTGACACCAACAAGCAGCGGCAAGTGGTGGTGAGGTCTGCGGCATTCCTTGCACAGCGCCACCACCCCACCCCCTGTCCCCTGCCAGGGCTCCCCCAGATCCCCATTCACTCCAGAATCTTCTTAAGACAAAGTTAAACCTGTAAGATGTGGTAGCACACACCTGCCACCACAGCACCCTGGGAGGCTGAGGCAGGAAGACTGCAAGTTCAAGACTAGCCCAGGCGACTTAGCAACTTGGTGAGACCTTGTCTCAAAATTTAGAAAAGAGCAAGAAGCCCCTGCTTGGCATCTGGGTGTGTGATTCTTATGACAAGACACTCACAGACCCCCTGAGTTCCCCACATGGAATGCTGTCTATCCTACTGGGTTACAGAATGAGACCTTTACCAGACAGAGTCACCAATCTCCCCTCAGAACTGGAAGCCAAACAAACTTCTTTTCTTTATATAATACCAAGCCTCCCGTAATTTGTTACAGCACCAGAAAATGGGCTAAGACAACATATTTCAGCCCTGTGTCCCACCCCAGACTTAGCTCTGCCCTCAGCAATGACTGTCTGCTGCCCTTCAGGAAACTGAACAAGTGGGCAGGAGACAAAACCTCAGGAGAACTGAAAGGCAGGTGGCGCCGTGCACCTCTGCTCTGATGCCATCTGGGCTTCCTTGGGACCAGATCCTGCAGCGCGTGACCCTGCTTCTCTGCGAGACACAGTCCCTGCTGTCCTTGTATGAGACCAGGCCTTGGGTCCATCCCCACACAGCCAGGCCACAGCCCAACTCCTGTTCTCCCTGACTTCAAAAGCACCAAACAGTCACAGCACATAGGACACATACCTGTGCACAAGGCTCTGTCCCCAGCTCGAGCTTCTGACTCCAAAGCTTCGTTCCCTAGGAGAAAAACACAGCGCATGGTGGGAGGAGCCAGGCATGGCAGAAAGGTGCAAGCCTAAATTTAGACAACGATAGGGATGTTTGTTTGTTTTGTAGCACTGGGGATGTAAGCCAGGGTCCTTTCACTGAGCGGCACCCTCAGCCTTTCTCACTCTGAGACAGGGTCTTGCTAAGTCCCTAAGCTGCCCAGCTGGGCTGAAACTTTTGATCCTCCCGCCTCAGCCTCCCTGAGTGCTGGGATGACAGGCATGCATGATACACACAGGGAAGAGTAAGGGAGGAATCTTTTGGAGACTCTTGCTCTGCAGCCCCTCTGCCTAACTGTGTGAAACTGGCGGGCTCTAAAGTACAGAAAGAGGCAGGCTGGTGAGAGGTGCGTTGGCATGCGGGCGCGATCCTGTGACTCTCTTCCATGTGTTTGAAAGTCTACTGGAACATAGGAGCTGGGGAGATGGCTCAGTGGAATAAGCGCTTCCCTGGAAGCTCAAGGGCCTGAGTTCAATCCCCAGTT